GTTAGTTAGTTAGTTAGTTAGTTAGTTAGTTAGTTAGTTAGTTAGTTAGTTAGTTAGTTAGTTAGTTAGTTAGTTAGTTAGTTAGTTAGTTAGTTAGTTAGTAGTTAGTTAGTTAGTTAGTTAGTTAGTTAGTTAGTTAGTTAGTTAGTTAGTTAGTTAGTTAGTTAGTTAGTTAGTTAGTTAGTTAGTTAGTTAGTTAGTTAGTTAGTTAGTTAGTTAGTTAGTTAGTTAGTTAGTTAGTTAGTTAGTTAGTTAGTTAGTTAGTTAGTTAGTTAGTTAGTTAGTTAGTTAGTTAGTTAGTTAGTTAGTTAGTTAGTTAGTTAGTTAGTTAGTTAGTTAGTTAGTTAGTTAGTTAGTTAGTTAGTTAGTTAGTTAGTTAGTTAGTTAGTTAGTTAGTTAGTTAGTTAGTTAGTTAGTTAGTTAGTTAGTTAGTTAGTTAGTTAGTTAGTTAGTTAGTTAGTTAGTTAGTTAGTTAGTTAGTTAGTTAGTTAGTTAGTTAGTTAGTTAGTTAGTTAGTTAGTTAGTTAGTTAGTAGTTAGTTAGTTAGTTAGTTAGTTAGTTAGTTAGTTAGTTAGTTAGTTAGTTAGTTAGTTAGTTAGTTAGTTAGTTAGTTAGTTAGTTAGTTAGTTAGTTAGTTAGTTAGTAGTTAGTTAGTTAGTTAGTTAGTTAGTTAGTTAGTTAGTTAGTTAGTTAGTTAGTTAGTTAGTTAGTTAGTTAGTTAGTTAGTTAGTTAGTTAGTTAGTTAGTAGTTAGTTAGTTAGTTAGTTAGTTAGTTAGTTAGTTAGTTAGTTAGTTAGTTAGTTAGTTAGTAGTTAGTTAGTTAGTTAGTTAGTTAGTTAGTTAGTTAGTTAGTTAGTTAGTTAGTTAGTTAGTAGTAGTTAGTTAGTTAGTTAGTTAGTTAGTTAGTTAGTTAGTTAGTTAGTTAGTTATTTTATGAAACAGTTAGGTGTGCTATTCTATTCATTGCCATACGACCCACTGTGTAACGTTAATAAATTGCATATATAGTTAATGAGACCACCAAACGTACCGACTACAACTATAAAAACAATAAAAGAAATGAAAAGGAAAGAGCACTTCACATGTGGTACTTAGACCGTCAAAAACAATTGACCATTTTTTCCTTTCTTCTAAATTTGTTACATATTTGGTTTAAAACAACATTGAAAACTTAAATAAATCAAAAAATAAAACATTAGTTTCTCCCCAATCCACTTATTTAACATTGGATATAATGCAGTATCATCATCATGATGACGATGATGAAGATAAAGTAATAAAAAAATAAGAAATATTTTAAAGAGTTTATTATGAAATGAAGCTATGGAGTGCTTTTTTTCAAGTGCGTTAATCGGGAAAGATTTATATTTTCAAACAAACAAAATATTTTTAAATAAATCATTGTTGCTATAACTACATAATATTTTTGTTTTATTTGAAAGTGCTTGAATTGTTATTTTTTGTGGATACACGTTTCTTTCATTATTTTCAAACATAATGTAGAAATTTTTTTTTGGTGGAATTGATCAGTGTTTTTTTGAAATGAAAGTAAAAACTATTTTGTAATCATTTGGATATAATTTTCGCATTGTCTGCTATAAAAATTGAGGGTCTGTTGGAGGTTTTAATTGGTTTTTTAAAATATATTATATTATGTTATTATTTTAAGACACATTAAAACTACATACATGAGTAATGCTATTAAATATATTGTCCTAGGAGGGACGGAACCGATATGAAACTATCAATAAAATACGTTCAAACATTTTAACTAATTTACAAACGATTTTGCTATTTAAACTAGTTGGTTCATTATTTTCTTAGTTTGTAATTTATTTTTTTCACTATTTTAGATTGCATTTGTTTTGTCTTAAAAGTCAAGTAAAATATGGACTCATAAATCTTTAAATACTCCAACAACAAGGAATTGTTGTTGTTGGTGGTGTACAAAAAATATGCGAATATTTGTATGTGTCCAATTCGGTACGTCTGTCTATCAATACGGAGACATCTGGTAAAAAAAATAAAAAAAAAAAAACTTTAAAGGAGACAACAGTTACCAAAAGGTTTATTTGCAAACGCATTCACATTAATCACGTACATTAGTATTTTTTTCTATATAACCAAAATCACCCAAAAAATATATAAATGTAAAATTTTTGTTCGATCTTTTTTTCCAAAACGCACTAACCACAACCAGCAAGCAAACACTTAAAATTGAACACACATCTTACGAACATATGGAAAAAGCTATCTAGATACTTGTTTAACAAAATTCACTTTTTTTTTACCACAAATGACCAATGTCTGTCTAGCATTTAACATGTGGATATAATTTAGGTTTTTTTAAGTTTTTCTTTATTTTTCTCCATTTGTAATTTGTGTTTTAGTCAAAATTAATGTACTATAAGTAAAATGGCTAAAACAAGTAAGTCAATTTTTTGGGGCCATGTAGTCATTTAATATTTGTTTTAGTTTTTTTCTTACTTTTATTTGTATG